CTTCTGTCCACCTCCTCTCGTGTGTACTCGGCCTCAATACGCCGGATGTCAGTGGAGGATGATGGGGTGACCTCAATATCCCTCGCAGTATCTTGGGGTACTCCAGAATGTCGGCACAGCTCAGTGATCAAGTCTGGAAATGGCAGAGAAGTTTGTCTCTGCTTGACTCTCATGGCTATCTCCTGTGAAATTAGTAGTCCTAGGTCGATGCGCCTCCTAGACATGATAGAACCAAGGCAAGCTGCTTTAGGATGGTGTAAACGGACTCGTTCTGGGATGGCATTATGGTGCTGCTGATAAAGCCAAACCAAAACCTGGCAGCAATATTCAAGTCCCTCTTCTCAATAAGGGCCTCTACCTCGATCCACCTCGGGGTGGTGTCGGATATCAGAGGAGCCAACCAACCCTTCAAGTCATCTAGGGACTGAGCAATGGGAAATCCCTCGTAAGGAAGTGAAGAATGCAGCGTTCTATCCAATATACTGTTAATATGTTCACTGTTGCACCCAACTTCCCTGCCTCTGACCATGACCGACTTCACCGGTCTGAACTCGCTTGCCTTCTTCTTGCTCTTGAGCACCAACTCCCCATAAGTTGTATAGAATTCCCAGACCCAGGTAGGAATGTAAGGACCTCGGGGCATGGTGAACTACTCAAACTCATGGTAGCAGAGGGTCTCCCTCACTTCTGAATACTTCCCGTCTAAGCCTTCTGTCGAGAGTAGCTACTCCTCGAGGATGGTTCGTAAACCATCACCTTTTAATCTGTTTAGGATCCTGGGAGGAGGAACGACCGGAGGCATGAGGGTCACAGGAGGTGCCTGAGCTGGCACTGAGTCTGTTGCCGGAGGAATGGTATCTGAAGGAACTCTGGTGGACATGGTTTGAGATCTAGCTCGGATCTCATCCCTTCGGGAAATCAAAGGATGCTCGTCTTCAGGTTCAGACAACTCAGTCCGAGTGTCAACATGTACTCTCTTAGATGTGTGTTTTTTTCATTTGCCTTTGTCTCCCGGAGGGAGTTCTTGTCTTCTCTTCTTTGGGAGATTTGATCCCCCTTCATTTATGTTAATACCATGTACTATTTTCTGGGGTGTCCTAGTTAGATTAGTCTGTACCGTATCTACAAAACATCAAAAATAATGTAGAAATGATTCAATTAAGAGCACAGAAAAATAGTTGCAGACAAACTCGCCGATCCATGGAGAACTAGATCAAGCTCGCCGAAGGGATTGGTTAGAGAATTTTAGCAAGTCGGTGATTCACCAAAGCCTTTCAGCGAGCCATGACTAGCCCGCCGAAAGTTCAAGTGCAGCAAGGGTTTAGGGGTGCAGGCAAAGGTCGAACAAGAAGACTTTTGGCGAGTCGCCGAGTGCTTTTGGCTAACTCAGGCTTCTCGCCGAAAGTTGTTGAAACCAACATCACAAATAGCATGAAATTAAAGGCGAGATGGGATCATTAGGCAAACCGCCAAGTGGTTCGACGAGTTCGACCCAGCTCGCCGAATAACCCAACGTGCCTATTTTCAACCCATCTTCTTGAATTTAACCCCGCAAGCCCCGAAAACAAAATGAAAGCATGCACTAGTACAATTGAGTTCAGACCCATAACACACATTGCCTCGGGATATTCAGATTTTTCCCGATTTTGCAAAATTTGGCCATTTGATGACTTTTACCCTTAAGAATGAAGTCACCCACTCCATCATTGTGCGATTTACGCAACTTAGAACAAATACGGGCTACTCAGACTTCACCCAACAAATCTAACCAACATGCAAGCACACCCCCAACTTTATTTAACTCAATTTAAGGCACAAATTTACGGGTATTCGATGATTAAAACAATACGGGCATGATTATCAAATTAAATCTGGCATTTAAGCATTCTAATTCTATCAGAGAGGCCCAACACACATCAATACGATAAGATCATTGCAAATGAGTACAAATATTTTGAAAATAAATTTGGGGTTCGGAAAACTAATCTTTTGTGCCGATTAAATTCCTTTGAAATGCTAGGCGGCAATGAAATCCGAAGTCCGAGCACCAATTAACAATCAAAATGCTAATGGAATGCAAAAAATATTGAAAATACTAACTTGGTGTGAGTTTGCGAAGTTTGAAAGCGAGGGAAAGTGAAGAGTTCAAAACCTTAAAATTGTTGGCCCTTAATAACTATCTAGTTCGTGTCCACTCGGCGACGTTAGTCTCATTCACCGATCCACTCGGTGTGTCGCCAAGTGGTCATTCACCTCGCAGAATTTTACATGACCTTTAGTTGCTTGGGGGTTCAAATGGCGGGCAACATCGGGATCGCCGACTAAGTCGCCAATTCGCCAAGTAGCTCCTGGGATCGCCGAGTTTTACAGGCTCCAAATTAAAATAGTGCTGAGCCAAACGGCGGATTAAATCGGGCGCGCCGACCTCTTTAGCGATGCGTCAACTAAAACATTCGCTCGCCAACCTGCACTTTTCAACATTTTCCTCACGTTATCCTGCACAATCAACACACTATTATTCTAAACTTAAAAGAAAGCAATTAAGACCTTGGGTTGCCTCCCAAAAAGCGCCTTAGTTAACGTCGTGGCTCGACGCAAGTCCTTACTCACTCTCCATTATTGGGGTTGGCCCTAGTGTTACTAGGTAACCTCAATAGTTCATTTGAGTGGAGCTGAGGCACTGCATAACTCATGAGCGTCCGATCAGCTGGATAGATCTAGAATGAGAGCCAATCATCTGATTCAACACTTCAATATTCTCCTTCATCTCTTCCAATACTCGATCTTGTTCGGTGATCTTTTGAGGAATTATTTGTAGTGTGTCCTCGACACAATTGTTCTCCCTGTCTCTAGGCTTTTTCCGCTCATGAGGGGGTATGTACCTCCCCTGACTTTTGCACTGGTCTTCCACCTCTGATATTTTGGTGGCCAAATCGTTCAGCTGAGTTACTAGTGCGGTTAACTTGAAGTCCCTCTCAACTTCTTGATTTGTCTCAGCCAATTTGCAACCATTTTCCTCGGCCATACTCAGGGTATCTGCTTACAACAACAACTGAAAGAAAAACAAAACTAAAAATTAAGTTAGTAAAATATGACTAAGAAGAACAAAAATTTTACTTAACTACAAATTCTCAACTAACACCACTCCCTGGCAGCGGCGCCATTTTGACGTTCGACGTAATCAACTGACACTATTTCGATTCAAGTGCCAAACGATCGCGTGTAGTGATATAACTCAACCAAGGGTTGGGATCATTCACACAGGGAGTGGTTTTGAGAATTAATAAAAAAATAAAGTCAACTTCTAGTTAGTCATAGCTATAAATATTACCAAATAAAAACATACTAAATCTAAGGAGTGACACAAGCGTCATTTATCAATGGGGTTTGTATTAATTAACAACAAAAAATAGCAAAAATATAAAGAAATGAGATATGGAGACGGGATGCTTGGGATGTGATAGGAATACGGGTTAAACTAGACTATCGGGTACATGCTTTTGACAGTAAATTGTTGAGCATTTGCGACTAGGCTAGACTATAGTGGGGTAAATTCTCTCTCAAGCAACTTATCCCGAATAAACTCGGTTTCTCTCGAACACCAAGTTGCCACATTAAGCAGAGCCTACGCCTTAACCCATTCACTCTCTCGATCTGAATGTGTAGGAGAAGGACTAGGATTCACTCTCTCGAGTTGAACCCATGTTGACCCAATACCACCGGCTATCAATTTAGTAGTCTTAATTTCATGACCTCTCTCTCAAGCAAGCCAATAACACTAAGAGGAAATCGTATTTGCAACTACAATCCCATTAAGTTCATACAAAACTACAAAACGAAATCACATTTAAACAACAAATAAACCATCAACAAGCAAGACCCAACAGATAATTTAACCCATATTGACAAAATCACACCCCAAGAATTGGGGTTTTAGCTAGACATGTAAAAGAGATAAAAATGTATACCAATATCAGTTTCCATCAACTGGGTATGAAGAGTTAAGTTTTAAAACACGTCAAGAGTGAAGAATCTTCGAGACCCACTTCCAATTTATTGGAGTTGAAACCCTTTGAATCTTCAAGGTCTTAAAACAAAGTCTCCAAAACCCTCTAAACCTTAACTCTCTCAAAAATTGTCAAAAGTTCGAACAATAGAAGTCTTATGATATGTTATGATAAATTTAAACGAGTATTTATAGTGTTTGAAAATTTGTGTTGTGGAGGACCATTCGGCGCAGTTCGTCGATATCGTCGATACGCTCGGCGATCCGCCATTTGGTCGATTTCATCGCCTTCCTGCTTTAGCCTTCAGCCTCTTTGTGTTTTGAGTCGTTGGGAAATATGGTACTGCTTCGTGGAACTGATCGGCGACGCGCCTACTGCTCCATTTCATCGCCAACTTGACCTTTTCCTTCAGGGCTCAGCACACTGGAACAAAAGGTGATCTCCAGGCCGATTGGCGACTCGCCAACTAGGCTAGGCGATCTTCAGGCCTTCATTTCTTCGTTCTTTTCAGCCACCTTGTTCCTTCTTGCCAAGTAGTGTCCATGCTTTGCCTCAAACTACTAAATAACCTAGAAAATTAAGGAATTTTTCATAAGAATATTGAGACAAAATATGCATTTTGAGGAAACTAAATTATATCAAAAATAATAGCCCTAAAATGAGTCCAAATTATGGACTCATCAATGTGCAACAGTTTCCACACACAAGACTACGTTCTTAGTACCAACCAAGCCACAACCTCCCAAAAAGATGAAGATTTTCCCTTAAGAAAGTCATCAACCAATCCATCATCGAGCAACCTCATTCATCTATTTAGAGTCAGCTACTCAGAATTTACCATATCCACCAACAATCAACACACACAAGCAATCCATGATCTACCTTTAATAATGTCGTCACTCTATCCATCATTGGGCATCGTCAATCCATATCTCAATCATCAAAACAAAAACAAATAAGCTACAAACAACAAATCAAAAACTAAAATTGACTAATCCAACATTGTATCAATAAAAATCATCCAAATTATCAAAGCCCAACTAGGGCACATAAATCCATAACAAAGAAATAAAAGTACACCCGCAAGGGCACAATCATAGTAGGCAGAAACAATCAACAAAATGACTACAAGGGAGGCACCCCAAACTAAAATAACATTGTGTCCCCACAATCCAAATATCAAAAGAGAATACGAGGGACTCTCTGAACTGCATCACTTTGAGCTCAAGCCAGTAGGAATAGTGAGATCCTCGTCGTCCAATGTACTGCTGCCATATACGCTCCTAAGCTTTCTCATCAATTCCCGAGACTCACAACCATAAAGTTTGTCAATTTGGTTAAATTCCCATTCTGCACGGGTGAATAAGTGCCTGAAGCGTGACTCTCCATGTTCATGGAGATTAGTCCGCGTTCGCAAACTTGAGTTGATAGGACTAACACGTCTACGGCCCTCTTGGCGCATTTGCAATCCTGCATTGACCAGGATTCGTCATTTGTTGTCCTTCGGGTGCGTTTGCGGTCCTCCAGGCGCGTTCCTAAAAATTACTTACGCTGCCATAAATTTCATTTTCAGCTCTTTACCTCTTTTTGCCTCAAGTTCACTTTGTTTCTTAAAATATCTCTTAAAATCAACTATCCATTTCATTTTCCTGTAAATATGAAGCAAACCACATTAAAGCACCAATTATAAACTAAAGCAAGCCAATATAACTATGAAAACAACCTCAAATGAGTTGAAATTCACCAATCATCAACTGCCTCAATCTTTTTGGGATTCCTAAAGTCACCCAACAAGGATTCTAAGGCCTTAGAATCACAATACATGATAGGGGAGTGATTTACTTACCTTTAGAGATGAAATTGATGGAAAGTGGTTGAAATTTACCCTTGGTCGCCCTTTCTCTTCCCCAAACTGAGTTTGCAGAATAATGAGTAGTTTAGGGGAAATTTCTGCATAAAATGTGAATAACCTTGCTATAGCGGCCTACCTCTATAGTTGCTCTGCCAAAGAGGGATCACCCATTATAGTAGAAATTAATTTAATTCCCGTTATATTAATGTGAAACTCGCGATAGCGGCTATTACATGACAAAAACTTGAAATTCTCCCCAAAAGTCTCCATTTAGGAAAACCATTAAACCTTGACATTCTAAACTAACTCGTTCACGCCATTTTTTATATCAGGAGTTTTACATGAAATTTGACTTTGAAAAACCCTACAGATTCCTTAATGTCTCTATTAATTTTCCAAGTAAGTTTCTCAACTAGATGAGATGCTTCTATTGGATCTTCACTAATATTTACATTGCAAGTCCTTATTTAGAACTATCAAGTCCCAATTGATAATATAATTTCCATCTCATGGTACTTCAACGTGGAAACATGAAAAACTAGATGAAACCCAGACAAGTTGGGTGGCAAGGCTAAATTGTCAGTCGTTGGCCCACACTATCAATAACCTTGAATGGACCAATGTAAAGAGTGATAATCTTACCCTTCTTGCCAAACCTCATAACCCATTTCATTAGATACACCTTCAAAAAAATATGTTCTCCAATTTGAAAAGCCATACCACTTACCTTATGATCTGCAAACTCCGTTTGTCTGCTCTGAGCAACCAACAACTTGGTTTGGATGCCCCGTACGTTCTACCGAGCTTCCCTCACCAAATCAACATCCAGAGGCTTCATATTACCAGCATCAAACCACCCTATAGGCGATCTACATCTCCTCCCATAAAGTGCCTTGAATAGTGTCATATCTATGGTGAAATTGATCCAATAGCCCAAAATGTCAACCATGTATGCTCTAAATATATCCTCTAGAACTTGAGTTATTTTCTCCTACTGAATATGTGTTTGAGGATAGAAGGTTGTGCTAAATGTGAGCTGAGTGCCAAATGTCTTATGTAACATAACTAAGAAATTAACTAAGTAAGTGCCTCTATCTGGAGTGATAGAAAGGGGCACCCTATGGAGCCTTACTATTACCATGACATAAATCTTAGGCATTTGTTGGCAGTTATAGTCCATTTTAACTGAAATGAAATGGGCTAATTTAGTCAACCTGTCAACAATAACCCAAACTAAATTGTACTTCCCCAAGGTCTTAGGAAGACCCATCGTGAAGTCAATGGCGGTCCTTTTCCATTTCCATACAGGAATGGGCATCCGTTATAGTAACCATACTGGCCTTTGATGCTCATACTTTACCTGGTGACAGGTCTGACACTTGGACACATACTCAAATATGTTCTTCTTAATTAGAGCCACCAATAAACTCGTGTCAAATCCCGATACATTCTGGCTAATCCAAATGAATCAAATTTCATGAACCGTGAGACTCTATCAATACTGTCTAGATAAATTCATCAACCCATGGAACACAAATATTTCCTCTATAACTTAGCACTCCACTTGCATCCAGTATAGAATCTGGAGTCGCCCTATATACCATTTTGTTCCTGAACTTGTTCAAATTCTAATCCTCAAACTCCTTAGCCTTGATTTCCACTAGAAATATGGGCGTAATTTTAAAATTGGAAAACACCCCACCCATTCCCTAAATCCCCAACTACATAAACTTAGATTCTAGAGTATGAATCTAACTAGCTAAGGGTCACTTAGATACCCCAAGCAAGCCAAACTGCCCATGCTAACTGTCTTCCGACTCAATCCATCTACCACCATATTGGCCTTGCACAATGTTACTGGATGGTCATATCATAGTCCCTCAACAACCATATCCACCTCATCTACCTCAAATTTAAATCCACCAGAGTAAACACATGTAGTAAGCAATAATGATCTGTGAATGACAGGAAAAAAGTCGTATTCAAAAGTGCCTTGAGCTTTTGGAATCTCACCTCACACTACCAGACCAAACAAATAATGCCTTTTTCTAAGATAGTCTAGTCCGATTTATATACATGTATGCAAAGTTTTTGACAAACCTACGATAGTTAAACTTCTAACATCGAACTTGGCATTAACGGGTTAATTAGATTGTCATGGTTCGAAGATGTGTTGCAAAATGGGGACTTTTCGAAACAAATTCAACTTTCTGCCCTGTGAAAGGCTTTATATCAGTTATCACAATGCTATAGTGGTCGAATTAATTCCCACTATAGTGGTGCCGCTACAGTAGGGTTATTCGCAATTTATGCGGAAATGTTTCCTAAACCGCTCATTATCTTACAAACTTACAAACTTATTTTAAGGAAGAAAAAGGGCGACCAAGGGTGAATTTCAACCACTTTCCATCAATTTTATTAATAAAAGTAAGTAATCACTGACCTACCTTGGTATAGTGATTCGTAGGCCTTAGAATCCTTGTTGGGTGACTCTAGGGGAGGGGTGATGGTGGATGCTGAAAAGTATGAAGCAGTTAAAAATTGGGTCTAGCCTAGCTCTATGAGGTGATATGCATTTATTTGCATGTGTCATATATTTAAACATATGTGTTTGGACATTGATCGCATGTCATATGAGGTGAGGACAATGCTAGGTTATTTCATGTGTCATATAATTGTTATGATTGTTGATATGTAAAAACTGTGTTAATCCTCAATAAATTGATTTGTCATAATTCAGCAAACTTATCCTGCAATGTCAAAATTCTTTGTTGTAATTTTTCGAGGATAAGTTTGTCGAGGATAATTCTATAATAGTCAACAAATAATTTACATTGTAGGATAAGTTTACCAAATTATGGCAAATAATTTATTGAGGATTACCACGTTTTTACATATCAACAATCATGACAAATATATGTCACATGCAAACAACCTAAAATCGCCCTCACCTCATAAGACTTGTGATCAATGTCTAAACGCATATTTTTAAATATATGACACATGCAAACAAATGTATATCAGCTCATAAAACATGTTACTAAAGACCCACAAAGCTACTAATCTCAACCTCCCCTAAAGTCACCCAACAAGGATTCTAAGGCCTAGAAATCAAAATACCAAGGTAGGAGAGTGATTTACTTACCTTTACATATGAAATTGATGGAATGTGGTTGAAATTCACCCTTGGTCGCACTTTTTCTTCTCCATAATGAGTTTGCATAATAATGAGTGGATTAGGAGAAATTTCTACATAAACTGTGAATAACCTCGCTATATTGGCCCCATCCGCTACAACGGCCCCACCCGCTACAAAGGCTCCGCCATAGCGGGATCTCCCAAAAAATTCTCATTTCACAGCACACCTTTAATTGAACCTTGATGTTCTAAACTAACTCATTCACACCAAGTTTTAAATAGGAAGTTTTACTCACCCGAATTCGATTCTGAAAAGCCCTACAAATTTCGTAATTTCTTAGCTATCCAAAAGTTTTAATACTCAAATTCATTCACCAATGATTTACCTACTAATGACCGAAAGGATCATTACAGCAAGTATATTCATATATAAATGTACCTTTATTAAATCGCTTGATTTGGATGTAAGCTTCTCTCCCCTTCACAATACTGTGATGAATCTAGAATTGAACATTCCAAGAAAGAAGAAAAATATTAAATACGATAAAACAACTCAAAATCTATAAATATTTTGAAGAAAATTTGTAAAGTTCATTACTAGAACAACATTTGAAGCAGATTCTGCATTTTTCAAATGCATATACTCATGGTAGTATTCATCCTACATTCACAAATTTTCCCAATTAGATAACTAATTATTAAATAAAAATAATCTTTAATATTCAAATGATAAACTAACAATAACCAATAAAATGTGAAATAAATATACCTCATCCCTTTTGAGTTGAATGTCGCAATTGGTAATTGTTCGAACTGTCTAACAATGACAAAGACATACTTCTTGTTTTTTTGGTTGAAAATATTTCCATGTATATCAATATATCTGTAGTGTGTTAATAAAAGAAAATTAGAAATTTACTTATCATGTTAAGAATTTCGTCAACTATTGAATTTCATCATAATTAACTTGTACAACATGGATTGAAGTGTTGCAGATTTGAATACATCATCTGTAACAACTCTTGCAATCTTGCGGGGGAATTAGTTGACGGCGAGGACCAACCTTGCTTTATCTATAGAAACTATTTTGAATTAGGAAAAAAATTAATGATTTTCACATAACTAGCATGTGAATCAAATGATTCGTAAAAATATGACTAATCATAAAAGTATAGCTAACTCTCGAAGCCTTATTCTCAGTGATTGAGGTCATCTCAACAATTATTATTTTTATTTGAAGTGATTGAAGGATTTTGGCCAACTTGATCATCAATTGTCACCTTAAGTGTTTAAATTCCTGAATAGTTGAAATCTTTAACATGATTTTGGCACAATTTTGGATATTTTTTTTTCCTTCTACCATCTAATTTTTTTATGTCGTTTAATATTCTATATTTTTACTCTAATTTTATCAATTAAAAATTTATTTTCTATTTCTTTATTTTTCAGGTGTTGAATTTCTTTGAATATACTTCAATTTCAAGGATCGGCAAAATTGAATCTCCAACAGTTTAGACGAATCAAGAAATTCTAAAATTCATGATAATGATTTAAAAAAAATTAGACACTTTTGTATCTTACCTTTTTTGAGAATTTTATGTGATTCATTCATACTTAAATTGAAGGTCATTTCAAGTATTTGAAAATACATAAATTAGACATGAAAAAGACGAACCTGTTCAATTGAATCTATATAAATCAAATAGAATAATCATCGAATCAATTTTTCCACTGCTTCAAAGATTTTCAAGTGCATATAGATCACATTTGAATCATCGCTTAATGGTCATATTCATTGAACAGACATATTTAGAAGGACAACTTCAAAGAAATAAGATAAGTTAGTCAACTAATCTTTCACTGTAGAGAATCAACTTTCTTGTTATATCAAAGGAATGAATGTATTATGAGACATATCTTAGCCTTCTCTTAGTTATGAGAACACGCTAAGTGAATGAGTTGGTAAAAACATAAATTTTAAAAAAGAAATAAACATTCATTATGATTATACAAAGAAATGAAAAGAAATAAGGATGTGTTTAGTTACCCAAAAAAAATGTGAACCAAATGTTATTGTGGAACCTCATCATCATCAATATTTTCATAGGATAGTGGAAGCGGCGAAGAGAAAAAATAAAAACCATCTTAGATTGAAGATGATAGTGGAAACGGCGAAGAGAAAAATGAAGATCATCTTGGAAACCCTACTACTATAGGAATTGGCATTTTTTTGGGCCGGATCAAATGATCCTTTTTTGTTATTTTTTTATTTCTTTTTCCTTTTGTTTTATTTTTGATTCGCGTGGGTCTGGATATTATTATTTTTGTTAATCAATAAAAAATGAGTCCATGGCTCAATTTGCTTAAAAAGGTGTGTTCAGAATGGTGGAAAATGGTTTTTGAAAAATACTTTTTCAGTTTTCTCATGTTTAGTTGGTTATGTTTTTGTGGAAATATATTTTCTTAGAAAAACAATTTCCTTAAAAATTAAGGGAAATAACTTCTCTAGTGGAAATAAGATCAACAAGTTTTATTTGTGACATTCCATATTGATTGGGTCATCCCCATCCCCCAAAAAGGGCCGAGCTAAAGGGAGTTCGTACAACCCTCTTTGACTAAAAATTAACTTTATATATAAGGTTAAAATTATTTTTTATGTATCCATAGTAAATGTTGAATATCTTTAACTTCTTTGTTAATTTTCTTCTTCATATTTTTTAACCCCTTTAATTAATATTCTAGCTCTGCCACTGCCCTTTTATCACACCTCATCTTCACCCCACCCTATGGGCATCATCCCCACACCCACACCCTATGAAAAATAAGTATTTCTTAATTATTTTCCTGAAAAAAAATATTTTTCAAAAAAACTTTTTCATGGAAAATACTTTTCTTCATACCAAACACACCCTTAAACATATCTTTCTTCACTACAAGCATAAAATAAGTTCAAATCCTAACCCAAATTTACTGAATGTTACACTTACATCCAATCCTTTTAAAATGTCTTTCTTCACTTGATGATTATGGTAGGGAAAGCTCTCATCTTATGAATTCATCACCATGTTTGATTTTTACAGTGGTTCTAGATGCAGTTGTTGTAGAATTGCAAACACAAATACCTTTCATAGTATATTTATGAATAAACGAAAAACATAATATCTTTGGATCTTTTTTGGAGATTCTTTGAGAATTAGGAAATCATAATGGCACTATTGGATATCTGATCAACTCATAGTGGCATCAAAAACCTTCTAATGTTATCTATTATTTAGTCCTTAAAAAATATCAATTCAAATATATTTAAAATCTTAGAAGCAGAGTTCTGAATATAAATATGGGGATAAACTGAACTTTAACACCTTCAGAATGATCAACCAAATTAGCTAAGATATTCAAACAATTATTTTTGAAGTTTCTCCTAACAATTTTATTACCTTGTATCTCTCTTTGTGACAAGTTACTACAACTAAATCCAAATCCGAGAAGTATCACAGTATGTTGAACACATCCAAAAATTACACTTAAACTCTACTAATGAAAGTCTTAACAATGAGAATTGAAAATAAAAGCTCAATATTATGGTGCATTTATAGAGAACTCTTGGGTTTTGGGTCATTTTTTTCTTCTATGTAGACAAATAAAAGCTCAATTTAGACTAGCCAATTTTTTCTCATAAGCCCAATATTATGGTGCATATGTAAGACTTCCTTTAGGTCTTATTTTTAGAGGGTTCACAAGAGATATCAACAACCATATAGAGAGAAATGTGAGAGAGTGCAGATTGTCACAGAAGCCCTAATAGCCAATTTCAAATCGTGATTTTCGTTTCGTTCCTTGTTCGATTAATATTATTTTTGGATAACTTGTTCTTTTCAACTTAATCTTTGATTGGAAATTGAGAGAGGTGGATTTGGAGTCCTATAGCTCCATATTTCAGCTCGTGAACAATAGTTGTGTTTGGTGATTTTACTCCTTTTCTCTAGTTTTTTGGTATTATCTTGTACTTGTGTTGTTCCTTGTTTGGCACTTTGTTGGTGTCCATTTTATAGAGCACATTTGTAACTCTTGTCGAATATATTAGAGTTTTGTCCTTATTGTTTTTACTCTTCACCCCGAAGAGGTTTTTCACGCTAAACTTGGTGTCTCATATGTTGATTTTGTTTTGCCTTGCTATATTTCTTTTGGTTTATTTGTTTGCTGCCCCAAACAGTGTTTGTGCTTGATTTCATTTGTCCTCTCCTGGTTCAATTATAAGGAAAATCTTAGATTGGATTTTCTTCTACTATTGCTCTGTCATGCACATTTGTTTTTTCTTGTCTTTCTCAACAAAGTAATATAAGAGCATTAGGTTGTTATTGATTAACTATTCAAATAATGGATTCAAATATGAGCAAGATGGTTAGTTTGAATGGTAGCCATTATAATATTTGAAAAGGCAAGATGAAATATCTTGTATTTTCAAGAAAATGCATTTACATTTATATCTTCCAATAAACTCGATTATATGAATAATAAGGATTGGGAATTTGAGAACCTGCAGGTTTGTGGCTATATCATACAATGAATTGAAGATAATGTTAGGAATCACATTATGAATGAGACACGTGCTAATGTTTGTGGGATAAGCTTGTCACACTTTATGCTTTGAAGACTGACAATAACAAGTTGTTTCTGCTGAAATAATTGATGAATCTTAGATATAGAGAGGTCAACCCTATTTAGATCATATAAATGATTTTCAGGGTGTCTTTCACAAGTTGTCTGGAATGGGTGTAAAGTTTGATGAAGAAATACAGGGACTTTGGCTTATTAATACTGTGTCTGACTCTTTTGTAACTCTTCGAGTTTCTTTGACTAATTTTATTTCAAATGGTGTTGTAACTACGTAATATGCTAAGAGTAGTGTCTTGAATGAAGAGATGAGAAAATATCTCAAGGTTCATCTTCTTTAGTTTTACACTCTAATATTTTGGTTACTAAAGACAAGGGGAGAAGCAATTTCAGAGGTTAGAATGACAGAGATAAAAGTAGAGGCAAGTCAAAGTCTAAATACAAGAATGTTACATGTGACTATTTCTATAAGAATGGACATATAAGGAAATATCACTACAAGTACTAAAGAGATATGAGACAACAAAAGAAAGATGGCGATAATGAAAATCATGTTGTTATTGTTGTTAAGGATGATCTTCTTATTGCTTGTGGTGAAAATGTCATTATTATTGTTTGTGATGAGTCTAGCTGGTTTGTGGATTCTTATTCTACTTCGCATCACCAAAGAAGTAATTATTTTCTTCTTACACTCCAGGTAATTTTGGAAAGTTGAAGATTGAAAATGATAATGATGTTGAGGTACTTGGCATTGGCACAATTTGTTAGAAAGTAACAATGGATTGAGACTAGTTCTCAACAATGTCAAGCATATTCTAGATGTTCTCTTGAATCTAATTTATGTGGGAAACCTTGATGATGAGGATTATGTTAACACCCTTGGTGCTAGCTAGTGGAAGCATAATAAAGGTTCAATGATTGTGGTTCGTGGTAACAAGTTATCTAACTTGTTTGTATTTCAGGGCTTCATTTCTAGAGGCTCAGTAAATTTAGTGGAGAATGATACTTCATAAGAGTTATGACATAGAAGGCTTAGTCATATGAGCGAGATGGGGATTGATAATTTGGCCAAGAAGAATTTTCTTTCTAGAGTGAAACAAGTAAAGTTGAAGAAATGTGTGCATTGCTTAACCATTAAACAAAAAAGAGTTTCTTTTCACAGTCATCCACCTTCAAGAAAGTTTGATTTGCTGGAGTTGGTACATTATGATTTATGTGGTCATTTTAAGATAAAGTCTCATGGTGGTGCACTTTACTTTGTGACCTTTATTGATGATCATTCTCGCAAACTCTGGAAATTTTTTTTGAAGTCCAAGGATCAAATACTTGATGTGTTCAAGAATTTTCAGGCTTTATTGAGAGACGGACAGGGAAGAAATTAGAATGTATCTATTCTGATAATGGTGATGAATATATTGGTCCTTTAGATAAATATTGTAGAGAGTAGG